TATTTTAATTATTATTGACTTTTAATGAACATAAACAGATAAACAGGTTTTTTCGTGAGAGACCCGGTTTATCAGGAATTTTAAAATGTTCATAAATACATGTGATATTCAATACACAAATATTATGTCTATTAATAAAGCGTGTGTTTAGAAATAGTCCGCAAAAATAAATCCATGTTAAGATTTACATAAATTAACATATACAATTAATTGTTCAAATTGGGAAAGGGATCTCAAGTTTTGTGAACGTATAATATTTCTAAATCCTAGATTCATAGTTTAAATTTGTATGTCTATGTCAAAGTCACATACAAAATATTTTGTGTAATTATGTTTTGATTTGAAAATATTAATTCACTATTTAATCAAAGTCTGTATAAACTAGAAATGAATTAATAAATTAGTGGCAATAAAGTGGTGGAAAATATTCTCAACAAATAAAAGACATTTAATTTAATTATCAAAAATTGTGATTTTGTGCTAAACAAGTGAATATCCGAGTCATTTACTATAGTGTACTGAATAAAGTTCACTAAATAAGATATTACTCATTATAAGTCATGGTTTTGTTATTAATACAAAAATTAATTCAGTGGTCGCTAATCATGTGCCTAACGATTGTTAACAATATTTTAATCATAATTTTCGGCGACTTCTACAAGAATATCATCGACAAAGTTATCAAGGTATTCATTCAATCGATTAATCAACTAATCTATGATTCAAACAAATGCTAATCTGTTTGAAAACAGTTATTATCTCATGAGACGAGTCACGAAAATCTAATGAACGATACGTTACTTCGTCTGGAGATGACTGAACACAAGTTGACATCACTTCAGAACCAAATGGTGTGCCATCACAAGGAGTTCCTGGAGTTCCGACACCAGGTATCGCATGGCGTGGCACCGGGTGCTGGTCCGTCGGTGATCACCAAACCAATGGCCGCCACTATGGGACCAATGGCTGCAAACATATCGAAAATGAGTGCCGAATATCTCCGCAAATCAAAGTATATTTGATTTTAAAATTAATTATTTAATTAAAATTTTTTTGTTTTAAACTTTTTTTTAGTGATTCCGGACTCTCGTCGCAAATCTTATGGCATTTACTTAATACTAATCCTTCAGTGGTATAAAATATAACAGAATATTCTGTATATTGTAGTGAATTCTGTGTTAATCGTTAAACTGATTATCAATAGGACTCGGAGTCTACTGGAGAGGGTCAGTGCGATCGTCCCTCACATACGACTGGCCACTGAATCGTGAAGTTTGTTTGAAAAGACTTTTTTTACTTAAAGTTTTAGACCAAAGATGTTATGTTTTACGGAAGTGAATGGCATTTCCATTCACTACTTATGGCTGTGATTGTGATAATAATCTGACAAAACATTTAATTTTGTAAAATAATTCCCATTTTATAATCGTTTAATACAAATAACTTTATTCCGCTTAATTAATTGTATCAAATACTCAGTTCATTTGCCAGATGTTTAAATAAGTGTTTATAAAATGTTTAATAAAAGTAATTAATTTTTAAAATGATACACAACTTACAAAAACTATTCAAATGCCGTGTATATGCTGTACAAAAATGTATGTCTCATAGACAGTGACAACACTTTCCTATCATTACATTTACGGTCAGCAAACGAAAAGTTTTATTACAAGCAATGCGTGAAATTTAATTTAAAAAAAGTAAATTATTATCCAGTTCAAATAACAACAACAAACTTAGCATGATGCAAATGTTATGTAACATACCTTACATCATATATGTCCACAAAATACGACCACTTCTAGCCCCCTAATGCCCCCTATAATACAAACTACGTGTTGATAATTGAAATTAAAAACCCATTTATGGGACGCTATTCATGGCGTGCGTGTGATGTAAGGCAAGCGATGATTGCATTTTGTAATTAAAGCCACGTTTTGTGTTACAAATAGACATACAGTTAGTGTTGAAGTAATGCACGAATTAATGAGAATTCAATTCAATCCAAACAGTCATAACATTCAGCGAAAGACATCTGTTGTGGTCATCGCATCGCAACTCCTCAAGACATCCGTCAACGCGTCCGTCGAGCCGTCCCAAGACGTGCCCGAAGAACGCGAGTTTCACGTGTGGATCAACTCGAGTGCCAAAGAGCCCATTGTCTGCAACACTAGCTCTGTGTTAAGACTTTTCGCTAGATTTGATCCCCAATTGTACGGTCAGGATCTGATCCAACGCACAGAAGTTGACAATTGGCTGACGATTGTGGACACCGGCCTCCGGGACACTCATCTCCAGAGTTTACAACATATCGTCGCGAAGTCCACGCATTTGGTCGGCGATCAGCTCTCGTTCGCCGACATCTGCGTCTGGAATCAGTTGAACCATAACAGCAGTGATCTCAAGACATATCCGGAGATCAAACGGTGGCTCGAAGTGATCGACCGCCAGATCAAGAACTTCTCGCCCGACAAGCGATCCGCTGGTGATAGCAATAAGTCTTCCAATACATCGAGCGTTAAGAAGTCTTCAGCGAACGACAAAATGACAAAAAGTGGTAAAAGCGGCGATCAGTCGACCGGACAACAGAAGCCCCAGAAGTCGGCGCCCAATAAGAGCGGCGGTGACGCCAAACAGGAGGGAAAGTACATTGATTTGCCGGACGCCGTGGCCGGTCAGGTGGTGGTGCGGTTCCCACCGGAAGCCTCCGGGTATCTACACATCGGACACGCGAAGGCCGCTCTTCTTAACCAACACTACCAGAAGGCATACGACGGAAAACTGATCCTTCGTTTCGATGACACGAATCCCGACAAAGAGAAGGAGGACTTTGAAAAAGTATGAATCAATTGATATCGATAGCTAACTGTCCGCTCATTTTAACGCCATATTGTCTCCGCAGGTGATCCTCGAAGACGTGAAAATGCTTCAAATCAAACACGACATCTTCAGCTACACGTCGGACCACTTCCCGCGCATTCAGGACGAGTGCGAGAAGCTCTTGAGGGCCGGCAAAGCGTACGTCGACGACACGGCCCCAGAGATCATGAAAACGGAACGCGAGGGTCGCGTGGAGTCGAAGAACCGGAACAATTCGGTCGACAAGAACCTGAAGATGTGGGACGAGATGAAGAGGGGCACAGAATTGGGCCAAAAGTGTTGCGTTCGCGCGAAGCTAGACATGGCGTCGGACAACGGGTGTCTGAGGGACCCGGCGATGTACCGGTGCAAGAATCAGCCGCACCCGCGCACCGGCACCACCTATAAGGTGTACCCCACGTACGACTTCGCGTGCCCTATAGTGGACAGCCTGGAAGGGGTGACCCATTCGTTGCGGACGAGCGAATACCTGGACAGAGACGCCCAGTTCTACTGGTTTATCGACGCTATGGGGCTCCGGAAGCCGACAATCTGGGCGTACAGTCGACTCAATATGACGAACACAGTGCTGTCCAAAAGGAAACTGACGTTTTTCGCCGATGAGGGTATCGTCGAGGGCTGGGATGACCCGCGTATGCCCACAGTTAGGGGTGTATTGCGAAGGGGTCTGACCGTCGAGGGTCTGAAGCAGTTCATTGTGGCTCAGGGCTCGTCCCGATCGGTCGTATTCATGGAATGGGATAAGATATGGGCGTACAATAAGAAAGTGATTGATCCGATCGCCGCCCGATATTCAGCGGTCGAAAAGGCCGACTCAGTGGTGGTGGATGTGAGCGACGCGGCGCCGGGCAGTATAGAAGTGGCGCTCCATCCGAAGAACGCGGAGCTCGGCAAACGCCAGGTGCGCACCGGGCGACAGGTGCTCATCGACCAGACGGACGCTCAACAGATGAGTGTCGGCGACAGCGTTACGTTCATTAATTGGGGAAACCTGTCGATCGCTGGCGTTACCAAAGACCCGAAGACGGGTTTAGTGGCGAAAGTGTCGGCGAAACTAAATTTGGATAATAAGGACTTCAAGAAGACGTTGAAAGTGACGTGGATTGAGACGAGTGCCACCATTCCGGCGATTCTCACATACTATGAGCACATTATCTCGAAACCGGTCCTCAAACCCGACGACGACTTCAAGGCGTTCATCAACAGAGACACGAAGTTTGAAGTGCCGGCGCTCACCGACGAGGCGTTGAGTGGTTTGAAAAAAGGAGATATCATTCAAATCCAGAGGAAGGGCTTCTTTATATGCGACTCCGTGTACGACGAGTCGACCAGACGTTTGACGGGAAAGCCGGCGCCGGTTATACTCATCTCAATACCCGACGGCTCGACTGATTTGAATGTTTTCCCGAAAGCGGTTCAGGAGTGGAAGAAAAAGACACTACAATTGGCTCAGAGCGCGGATAAAGCGGCGCCAAAAGCTGCCGGCGATGTCGAGAAACTACTGAAAGACATCAAAGACTGCGGCGATGGTGTGCGTCAACTGAAAGCCGATAAGGCGGCCAAAGATGTGATCACCGCTAAAGTGAATCAATTGCTGGCACTGAAGACACAATTCAAAACACAGACCGGCGTTGACTGGACTCCAGACGTAAAGTTGGATCAATTGAAACTGAAACAATCCAGTGCGCCGTCCGGTGGCCAATCAAATGACGCTCAGAGGTTGGATGGTTTGGTGAGAGCACAGG